TAGCATAGAATAGCATAGAATAGCATAGAATAGCATAGAATAGCATAGAATAGCATAGAATAGAAGTAGTGGAAAGAATAGAATAGCATTGAATAGAATAGCATAGAATAGAATAGAAATAGTGGAAAGAATAGAATAGAAATAGTGGAAAGAATAGAATAGCATAGCATAGCATAGAATAGAAATAGTGGAAAGAATAGAATAGAATAGAATAGAATAGAATAGAAATAGTGGAAAGAATAGAATAGAATAAGCTGGAGATCTTCATAAGATATAAACAAGTGATCAATCATGAAATACCAATAGAGGAAAGTAGTAGGAAAGATGAGAAGTTGAGAAATAGCAATAGCACTTAGATGTATATACTGCGTCAGAGAGCTTTACAGCCTCTTGCCCCCAACAATCTGGGTCCTCATTTTGCCCACCTCGGAAGGAGGGAAGGCTGAGTCAACCTTGAGCCTGGTGAGGATTGAACCCCTGGCAGTCAGCAGAATTAGCCTGCAATACTGAGAAGATGAGGATAATAGCAATACAGCCATACTGCACGGGTAAATATCCCCAGACATAATACAGTACTGTGGGAATTAGGTGTTTAGTAGAGTGATGGCATAGGGGGAAAACCAGAGGTGAAATGCTACCGGTTCAGACCGATTCACCTGAACTGGTAGTAAAAAAAAATGCTACGGGTTCAGGCAAACAGGTATTTCTGGCTATCAGCTGTGACACACAATTTCCTGTGCGTCTAGCTACTCTAAATAATGTGGCACAGTGGATTCCCCCCCCCCCGCTGTTCTGTTTACCTTAGTAGGCATGCTCGGTAGCAGGCTCCGCCTACCTGCCCAGACATCATCATCACATCGGTTTTTGACACTCTGCGCATGCGCAGAAGGTCCTGCGCATGCACAGATGTGGAGCGAGCGAGTGTGTGCACGCTCACATTTGCAAACCGGCAGCCAAGGTAAATAGATGCCCAATGCTGAGCTGCTATTTCCTCCCTCTAGGAAAAAAAACCCAGAACAAATTATTGGTGGGGGCCCTGCCTGGCACACTTTATTTACCCACTGAGACCCAGATGCAACCAGGGGAGGCACCAAAGGCTGTTGCCAAAAGCCGGCCTCCTGTCCTCCTCAAAAGATGTTTGGTTGACTTTCCCAGGTGCAGCTTTTAGGTCCTAAGAAGCCCTCAAAAGCTGGGCAGGCCCTGGGAAGGTGCCAGAGGAGGGGATGGAAGGAGCCTGGCGCCTTCGCCCACTCAGGAGTTTCAGATCCTCCTCACAGGTTGGGAACCCCATCCTTGCAGCATGGCTGGGAGTCGGTGGGAGATGTACGAGGGCCCCCTCGGGTGGCTTCTGCTCTCCTGGGTCTGTGCAGGATCCATCCAGGCCCCGAAGAGAACGGCTGCCAAGGCAACCGGGCAGCCTGGCAGGAGGCTATTAGCGCATCACCCGGGCTGTGCTGTGAACGACTCACACCTACTTCTTGGCGCAGGGTATTTCCTCGAGTTGCCGTGGCAACCTCTGCACCAGCTGCATGTTTTCAGGGATTGTGGGCATTCATCTCATCAGAGTAAAATTAGAATGAAAGGTTTTAATCTTCAGCTTGGGAGTTGTTATTTACAGGCAAATGTCTGTGTTGCTTCCAAGGAGATTATTATTAAGCCAGAGAGCAGCCCAGATGCCCAGGAGGAGGGGAGGGTATGTGGGGAATGGGTGGGAAGAGGTACTTGTGCATGTATGCATATATGGATGTACAATGTGCATGTAAGAGGCATGTGTCTATGGAGGGAGGAGGGGAGCAGCCATTTTGCTATGGCCAACACAACAGCGCCAACGCTCCGCGGGACAAGACATACCCTAATATCCAAGAAAGGGTGGAATAAAACCATTAAAGAAAGGATTTCAACAGAGGGGCAAAATAAAGTGTGAATGACAAAAATTAAAAATATTTTTAAAATTATTTTAAATAATTACAGTAAATTGAAGTGTTGAATTGTCCCACAGCGAGTTGTCCCGTGGCGATTTGGCTGTGGCAAGTTGTCCCATTCCAAGGAGAAGATGCTTCTGTTGGACAAACAGACACATCTGGGTGCATCTGAGCAACATCTTTCTTCCCTAACTTCTTCCCGCCAGATGTGCTGGAAAATGTAGCTTTCAGAACTCACTGCTGTTCCGGCCAACGTCCAAGGTTGTTGATTTAAGTTTGGCTAGTCTAAAGAAAAGAAGAATAAGGGGTGACATAATAGCTGTATTCCAATATTTGAGGGGCTGCCATGAAGAAGAGGGGGTCGGCCTATTTTCCAAAGCACCAGAGGACAGGACAAAATACAATGGTTGGAAACTAACCAAAGAGAGAA